TAGGGATTTATGAAGTACGCCGTTGAGATTGGTTAATTTGCCATGATATACTCGTACGTACCAAGGTTCATAAAGACTGGATTAGGCGTTCAGAAGTTGACAGGGAGGATACTTAACTAATTAAGCAACACGCCATAATGGTGTATAGGCGAGTGGATGTACAGACCCACGTTTTCTTGACCTCGGCTCTAGTTGAAGGTGAGTGGTCTGCTTAATGCCCTGGCCACTTTACCCCCGTTGAAAGAGCCCCCGGTTCCCATTGGATATGATATTAAGTAGGTCCCGGAGCCGGTCTGGACGACATGGAGGAGAGAAAATTCTTGATCCCACCGTGACTCGAACTCCGACCTCTCAGTCGTCCAGCCAATAGCTATTCGCTATACCGACTGAGCTATCCCGGCTCACACGTTCTGAAATGTACGTAAAATAAAATCGAATTTACTAAAATATATCTGAAACACTATATCGCAGAAGCCATTGATTCAGAATATAAATTGCAAGAAGTGATCCGGGAGTAGGAATCGTTATTGGAGATCTCCGAACCAAGTTTCAGACACGTTATCGCTGTGTAATTTTAAAAATATTTGTATACAACAAAAATGTACAAAATGTTGAAAATATTTCACCACTTAAATCACTTTTCCATACATCTGTTAGTGCAGGCCAGTATTTGTTTCATTAAATTCTTTTGTTAAATGTTGAATTAGTAACGCATAAAAAGTATCCGTTAATCCATATCAGTCAGGAAACGTGGGCATGCGATTATATGATAAAGGTATTGATTAATTTAATTTGTAATGCTGTAACTCGATATAGTAATGGTGTGTATGTTAAGTTACAGCGCATCATGGATTATAAAATTTGGTAAAAGAGTGAATATACCGGATGCTATATTCCCGCACTAGTGTTTCCTTTAGACGTCAATTTAGTTCGATTCAATTTAATTCAATCCAATTCAATCATTTATTTATTTACATCCCTACAGACCAATTCAAAGGTCAATTTAAATAATCACGAACAAATGAAAGAACAAGTTAAGTACCATTTACACAATAGTAGCAATTCCATTATTGTAACACTATGCTACAAGCCGGAAGGTCGTTTTTTCGATTCCCGATGAGCTCATTGGCGTTTTCAATTGACGTAATACTTCCAGCTGTACTTTGGCCCTGGGGTCGACTCAGCTTCCATCAGAAATGAGTACCAGAGATCTTCCTGGTGGGTAAAGGACGGCCGTCGCGTAAGGCTTACAACCTCACCGCCATCTGTGAGCCGATTTTCTAGAAAATGTGTGAACCTCTAGGTCTCGCAAACCTATGGGCCTCCACGGCCTGTTACAGAGATAGCTTTAGCATAACTATCATTACTGTAACCACGCCAATCAATATGAACTTAAATATATTGCAACATGACGGCTGGAAGCCACAATAGAGAAAAAAATAGAGTGCCGTTGTTGGGTAACGGCGTGACAAACACTTCCTCGCAGCATCGAATCAATAGATCAAAACAAAGGTATGTTGGAAGTGGTGTTTTCTGTGTTGCCCGCGCCGAGTCCATATTGCGAGGACAAAAAGGGAAAGTCAATGGAGAGGTGGACTCTAAAGGCTCCCAGAGCCGTCACATGGTAAAATGTTGTCATGGGTCTCATGAGTCTCAGAATCAATGATCACTGTGCTGCGGAACCATGAATCACTCTGTTGGCGAGGAACAGCAGTAAGTTATCGTACAGATAAGCAGTCAGTCGGAGGTTAGCATACAGGCTTGAGTTATATTATTAGCAGCCTCTGCCTAGCAACGACTTGTGAACAAACAGAAGGCTTTATGTAAGCAGCAGCTCTAGTGGCCAGTATAGTGTGTAAATCAGTGAGACTGTTACAGTTATCTGTAGTTAAAAGTTATAAGCGTCCAGAAAATCCAATTATAAATCCAAAATCCGTGCATAGTCACTAACACGTGACAATATACATACATATACACGCATTCATCGCAACACAGTATTTCAGTAAATAATCTGAAGCAATACAGTCGTGGACAATTTTAAACTTGAAATTCATCTAATTAGTGCTTAAAATTTAACTTTCTACCTCATAGAAATCACAGTGCGTCTACATTGTACGGGAAATAATCGGTATTTATTGTGTGAATGGTGCGAAATGAATAAATACTTTTTTTTGTGGAAAAATGCAGGGCTCTGTATTGTTAAAGCACGAGGTGCACATAATAACCATAGTGTTTTAAAGTATTGTGACGAATATGGTCATTGCTAGGCAACGGTTCGGTAATATACGTTCGCGAGGGAACGGATAGACGCAGTAATAGACAAACTGTTCGCAGTGATCGTCTCTCTTCTGTTCGCTTCCAAAGTACAAAAGGAGAGTTCAGTTCATTCGGATGTGATTCTTCGTTCGTCATTCGTCGCAGAGGAAGAGAAGACACTCGTGGTCCAGTAAGGAACGAGCGAGTCTTAGACAGCCCTGGCTTGTGAGCTGTTACAATTTATTGTAACTGTAAAGAAGTGACAGTAAATCCAATCATCCAATCCAGAATCCGTTCTTATTCGTCACGGAACCCCGGACACGTGACAGCATTTAATGACGCTTTCTCAGTTAAGGATATACCCGTACCATATTTATTTTCCTCTTGCTCCCACTTTGGATCGTAGGACTGATTTCTCAGTTTCTTGATAATTTTACAGATGGTAGGACGCCTTGGATGGGTGATCAGCTCGTCGTAAGGCCTCTACGTAAATACAGGAGAACATAAACACATAATAAACGCATACACACACCAAACATCCATGCCTTGTGTGGGATTCGAACCCACGATCCCGGCTTCCAAGCGAGCGTAGACAGTTCATGCTTTAGACCGCTCTACTACTGTGACCGGCCCGTAGCATATGATGTAATAAAAATATTATGATTTATCGGTTTTTGAAGGCATTTCGTAGTTCGCAAAATGTGGTATGCTAGGACAGTAATCTTTCTGTAATAATTCTTAAAGGTTTCCGTATGATCTGTCAACTCTAGAGGTTATATAGCCTCTGTTGTGCGGATGAACCTATTTACGGCTCTTTCATAGTGTCGTAGTTCGCGACTAGTGTCTTCAAGTATGGCATAACTGTTGGATGCAGTATATATACAGCGTCAGTTGTGAAGAGGGGATAATTTTCGATTTTGAAGAAAAGGTCAGATTTTACCCAGATTGTTCTCTGTAATGTCACTGTAATATTACTGCGATGATTGCATAAGGGTTTTTAGGCATAATGACAACATAAATGATTAATTCCTGTACCGAAAGAAGAAGCATTATTAGCGGCAAATGGGCCATTTAGCCCCTTACGTGGTTTCACGTATTCGTAATTACAGAGATCTTCCTGCATCAGCTGTGTAGGGAGCATATATGTAGTTACATGTATGCTTCCAACACAGCCTTTGCAATTAGTACAGTGTTATGTGTCCCTGTGTATTTTGTGTGTGTGTGTATGACACCACATAAGAGATTAAAAAGGGTAATGCTATTCCCCTAGCAGGGCACGGAGGCCCATAGAGTTGTGAGACATCGAGGCTCAAACGTTTTCTAGACAATCGGCTCACAGATGGCGGTGATGTCAGCCTTACACACCGTCCTGGCACCCCTCTGTTAAAGGCTGAGTCGACCCCAGGGCTATAGTGCGGCTGGAAAGATTAGGGCAATTGAAAATTCCAGTGACCCAATCGGCAATCGAACTCGCGACCTTCCGGGTTGCGACCAACTAGGCTACCACGTGCCCCTTATCAGAGACAAAAGAATGTGATAATATGGCAGGATAGCATGGAACAAAAAGGAATGAATGTGGTTGGCATATATTTACAGGACTGTTCGTTCTGATATCTCTATAAAGTGAAAAGGGAAACTCCACGGAGAAATGTCCTTAGGAGCCTCTTCGTTGTTCACGAATTTCCAAGCTCTTTCCTGATCCATAGGTTTTCTGAAAAGCCCGCTACTGGTCCTTATTCTCAGCCACACGAATCCAGTTCACACTCGTTCCATTTTGATTTAAAACCCTTTCTAATATTATTGTCAAATTTACACCTATATTTATAAAGTATTGTTTTCAGGGTTTCTGATTAAAATTATGTAAGCATTTCTTGTCTGTCCCTTACGCGCTGTGTACGTCTCCCCTTTAATACTCTTTGATTCGATCACCAAATTAACGTTTGGTATAGAGTCAAATACGACACTCCTCAATAAGAGAAAGGAAAATATATTTGAAGACTTGTGTTTCGTGAGATACAACTCCATGTAGTCCGTTGAAAGTCAATCGACGTTTCGGTGTAATATGTCACCTACATCTTCAGGGTTTTAGAATTCGATATTCAATCGATTCTAAGAATGGATGATTTTTCAGTACAAGTCAGACTTGCATCATACTGATGAAAAATATCATAGTTCTGAGATACGAAACGAGGATTTCATAGTCAAGATTCTGAACCTTTCGCCCTAATCTTACTCCTTAATATGTGTCCGAATATTTCTGAGTTTCTTTCTTCTGAGAGTGATATCAGTTTGAACTTTCGTTCCCAGTTCCGCGAGGTAAATGCTGGAAAATTATCTTAAGATCTCAGACTAAACAAAAAAGTAGTAAGATTAAAATATGACAACTTTCAAAATTTGTTCTTCATTACTAGAAGAGAATAAAACCCGTTTTACTGCCGGAGAGTCTTTTTTGCCGTTTTCTTGCCCCTCTGAATTCTTTACAGCATCATCGAATGTGGTCACAGGAAAGGAAAGGGAACAGACAAATGACTGATGGTATGCCTACCCAAAAAAAATGTATTTCTATGTGAAGTTGCTAGAAAATCGCTGTGATGGGACTAGCACACGCTCGTTGGAAGTAGTTTCGCTCTTATTCGCATGCGCAAATGGTTGTAGGGTAGTGACGTCGTTGGAGAGAGGGAGGGTGACTCGCCGTTTGCTGTCCAAGAGGAAAGACTGGGGCAATAGTCGTGCTGACACCGCAGGCCCGAACCTTAGGAAGTTAGTGTAGCGGAGGTGGCCGGTAGAGGCGCGCGTGTCATCTCGTCGCTGTTCGAGACGGTGACTACGTCACATCAGTGTCAGAAACAAACGAACTGCGGTAGTCAAATGGAGATACAAAACCCGTGCTTGGTATAAAGGTTCTTCTCGAATTATTTTTAAATGTAGTAGCATTTGTTTTATAGCTTTTATCTGCATTAGAAGTACGTCTAAATACATGAAAGTAAAACGTTACTGAAACTAATATAACCATACATGAGAACTAAATGTTGTCATTTTTATAAGATTGCCTGACCAATGAGTGCAGTTGTAACAAACAGTATCCAGCCTTTCCAACGCCGTGTCTGATATTCTATTCATGTGTTTTAAGTAAAAAACAATTAACAGTGAATTAAATCAAGCGAATAGAGAGGAATCATTCATGTGACTTCCGTTTGTGCTTTGTGCGTTTTGTTTGTGTACTAACGAATTGATGGGTTGATGGAGAGCAATCTAATTTAATAGACAACCGAAGAGAACTGTATAAAGGGCATTTATATTTCCATCACGAACTGTATAATCGTTATGCCTGAGTAGCTTATTACTAAACGCGTAAATAACAGACTTAACATTAGCCAGTATATACATGGACAGATAAACTTACCCATTAGTGAAAGAGCCCCAGTTTTTGTATTACAACATCTGAAAGAGGTTTAACGGAAGTGATTGTGGGACTGTCTCTGATAGTAATATCGAGTTCGTTGCCATGTATTAGAATCTTGGAACGATATTACTACTGCAAAACCAGAATTCAATTTTACATTAAAACTTTAAATCTATAGGCCCTATGCTGCTTGCTGGAGATTAGCCTGGCTTTAAGCTCTAATGCGTATGTACTGATTAATTTGTGAAGTATTAAAATTAGTACAAAGTACTATTGATTTTGCTTTGTGATCCATTTTGAAAAGAGATTAAACTCTTTGTCATTAAAAAAGTGATATAGTGTATGTGTTATAGACCCGGTGTTTTGGGGCAGAAAGTGCGCTTGTTGGGAAGTGTATGTAAGGGCTATGGGTTGCTGGAAAGAGTGCTAGTGTTGTGGAACCAATAATGGCCAGAAGGGCAGACGTGCATGGTTTCCTGGGCCTGCTGCTTCTGTACGTCCTGGCGGTCACACTTCTTGCATCCACAGGTGAGACGAGGCATCATAAATTTATTAACTCCGCCTTAAAGAGATTTGCTGATTACTGTCTTATATGCATGATTGTAATGAACAGACATTAATATGAATTGTGTACGCCTGCCCGGAACTACTGACGGATTTCGGTTAAATTTGGTATGATCGCCCTATATAAATTTTATTTTGAGCTTGATTTTGGTTCATGTAAGCAGGTTCTGTGTAACCCATGCCTTGCATGAAATTCAAATCAAAATTGACCAGTTTTCTTCACAATTTTTTCGTCTTATGGAATCTTTTTTACCAGTTAAAAACTACATTTACCTTCGAGATTAATAATGCTTATTTTAAATGTTTTTTCAGTGTGACGCATATTTACCTAAATAAGATGAAAAAAACATTATTTTGTTTCTGGTTTTGAACAACAACAATAACACACACACACATACGAGGTATATATATACACGTCCACTGTAATACGAATGTTTAGTTCTGTACCGCAAAAATAAAGCAACGAATGACCGAGGCAGTTAATACCAAGCAATTTGTTTGTAACAGCAATATGTGAGCATTAAAACGACAGAAATTCGCAAAGAAATTATTTGCCTAAGATCATGTAGGGGTCTATTAAGTCAGCCCTTACCGATTTTGATGACTTTTTTTTTGTGTGTGAAGATTGATTACCAAAATCTGTTTTCCACTTTTGTTTTGTTGTAAAATGTGCATCATAGATCACCACTTTACTCAAAAATATTTCAATAAAATGTGCATGTTTAAATGTAAACATAATGATATTGCAGACAGAAACTGACGCTTCAACCCGACGCTGGGGTCCACATGTCCTCATGCCCATTGAACGCTTTTACCGGAAGTGATCACAGCATGTTGCTGAACGCTAACAACTTCTTAGAGCCGAGGTTAAGAATGCATGGAACTATATGTCCTCCCCGCCATACATCTTCATGGCGCATTGCCTGAGTATAAGGGGAATTTTCTGTTTACTTTCATTGACACAAATATCTCACGTTTACACGCATATTTTGGTACGTAACTTTATGACACCGTGTAGTGTGGTAAGTGGGCACCAACGTTTCGGAGGAACACGCTGTCTTCATTTTCGTCTACTACGATGATCTGTAAAACCAGAAAATCACAGTATACGTGAAGAATGTCGTTTTCTGTGATGTGGCGCCGTGAAGTACTCGTGTGATCCGACGTTTCGGAGGAACGTATGACTTCAATCTTCAGAGTAGAAAAATCCGCGAGCGAGGAACCAGGTGGCTGCTATAGATGAAGGTTATACGTTCCTCCGAAACGTCGGTTAACACAAGATCTACACGGCGCCACATCCCGAAAACCTCAGATCTGACGCAGTATACATCTTCACCGCCACTGAAAGACATGAAGTATGTTCTAGAAGTGACTCTTCGTGTGTGTTGCACTTACCAAACTTTGTTTACAAGTGCGGAGACAGTGTCTCCGTTGCGAGACCATCAGAGCGCAGTTCGAGTAGAGGCCCTTGACCGTGTTCCTGGAGCATGAGGACAAACGGAAGAAGCAGATCGCCTTAGAAAATGAAATGTCTACCCCAAAGGCAGAGAAGGAAGTGACAGGATAGCATTAAGATGAAATTTGAGAAGATCGGTTTTTAGAGTAAGAGGCGGATCACAAGAAGCTCAAGATGCTCAAGATCGTGTCGAGTTAACAGGATTTGTTATCAGCGACGTTGACAAGTTACAGAGTCTGTTACCAGAGAGCTAATTCTTTACCTTGAGTATATAACATGATGTTCTTAGGCTCTCTTACCAGAAAGTTTGGGTCACGAGGCATTGTAGTTGTTTGAGGCACTGTGCTACAAGCCGGAAGGTAACGAGTTCGATTCTTGATTAGGTCATTGGATTTTCCAGTTGACCTAATCCTTCCAGCCGCACTACGGCCCTGGGATCGACTCAGCCTCTAACAGAAATGAGTACCAGGAATCTTCCTAGGGGTAAAGGACGGCCGGAGCATAAGACTGACAACTTCACTGACCTCTGTAACCCGACTGTCTGTAAAATGTGGGAGCATCGACGTCTCACAACCCTATTGGCCTTCACGGCCTGCTACAGGGATAGCTCTATCTTACATTAATATACTGAGTACAAATAATATTTTAGCAATAGTTAAGAAATACAAATTATAAAAATATAATCAGTAGTGCAACAGGCGTGACCGGAGTGGTTTGAACGGCTGCTGTACTGCGATGTGGAAAGCAAATGGAAAAACTACCACATTATCACTTTTCCTGGATAGTCTCTTTCCAAAAACAGAAGATCACATTAAGTGGAGGAACTGTTTTGGAAGAGATTGTGGACCTGTCGTCTGACAGATTACTGATGAATGAATGAATCAGTAGTAACACTTTGATTAGTAAATATAAGGTAAAAAATTTAAAGTTGTTCCTTCGCGTAACTAATTAAGCATTACGACATGAAAGCGTATGGGGAGTGGATGTATAGATTCACGTGTTCTTCACTTCGGCACTAGTTGGAGGTGAGTGGTCAGCTTCACGCTTCGGCCACTTCATGGCCGCGCCATAGCTCAAGCGGTTAGTCGCTGGATTCCCTCCGCGGCGGCCCGGGTTCGATCCCGGGGTCTGGTCAAGTGGGATTTGTGGTGGACAAAATGGCGCTGGGGCAGGGTTTCNTACTTCGGTTTCCCCTGCCATCCTTCATTCCACCAATTGCTCCACAATCACCCTCACCTATCGTCTGGGGCTGGTACAATAGGCCAGAAGTGGCCGCAGTACAAGGGACTTAGTCCCAAACCACTAGCATTCGGCCACTACATTCTCGGCGAGGTAGATATAAATATAGTTATTGTAAATTTTAAAATGTAACAGTATTGCTTTGGTGACACGATTTGATCAGATAGTTTTTTAATAATATCTCACCTCAAACTGGAATTGTTTTTTCTGAATTCATTTCTGTTACAGATATTTTCTTCCAATGTCACAAAAAACTTGAGCTGATTAGGGGCGAATGTATGCGACACGTGAACTCATTGTCATTTTATAGTGTAAAGGCCAAACACCAGCGAAGAAGCGGTTTCTTATTAGCTTAGGCGTTGAATTAACATTTACTAACTACCACTTCTGTAGCTTATGTCTGTTTACAATGGCACCCTAACTTGTGAAGCTAAATGTCTTTGTACTTTCTGATGACCCTCGTGCTCGAAATGCGCCATAACTTACCTAATAAAGGCAGAACAAAGACATTAGTGTATACACACAGTACGTATATATAGACCCAATGTGTATAACAGTATGCCTCTCAAAGGCGCTATTATTAAGATATTTTTCATTGCGTACATTATCACGGGAAGGTTTGATAAACTCTCATAAATTCTCATTCTGACATTTACACCGCTCTGTTCTTAAGTTGGCCTAATTCAATATGTAATGTATAAGGACTATCTTAAGAACAGGACAATTATATTTCGAAGCAAATAGTTACTGGGATAAATTGTTCAAAAATTTAATAACACGTCGCCAAAATATATAGATATGTTAGAGACATTGTGAATTTGTATGCAGCTTGAACAACTTCAGTGAGGAATGCCGTCTTCTTGGATGTTGCGCCGTGTAGATCTTATGTAAACCGACGTTTCGGGGGAACTTATTGCCTCAATCTTCAGGGTAGAAAATCCACTAGCGAGCAACCAACATGAGCAGGTGGCTACAGACTTCAGACTGCGGGTGTTTGAGAACAGGGTGCTGAGGAGAATATTTGGACCGAAGAGAGATGAAATGACAGGAGGTTGGAGAAAACTGCGTAATGAGGAGCTTCAAAACTTGTACTCTTCTTCAAGTATAATTAGAATGATGAGGTCAAGGAGGATGAGATGGCTAGGACATGTAGCACGAATGCGGATACGAGGAATGCATATAGGATATTGGTTGGAAAGCCAGAAGGAAGGAAACCACTGGGAAGACCAAGTCGTAGGTGGGTGGACAATGTTAAAGAGGTAGGATGGGATGTTATGGATTGGATTGATCTGGCTCAGGATAGGGACCGGTGGAGGGTTGTTGTGAACATGGTAATGAACATTTGGGTTCCATAAAATGCTGGGAAATTCTTGAGTAGCTGCAGAATTGGCGGCTCCTCCAGAAGGGCTCATCTCTATAATTAAGCAAGTAAGTAAGCTATAAAATATCTCATATCTTGTCAGATGGTTTGAACTGGAATTTGCGCCAAGAAATGAATTTTATTTTCTACCGATTTTTAATGGCTGAAGCTCTTAATATAACGTTAAAAAGCTGGCTGTAATAAAACGAATTAAGATCAATACAGCGTATACAAATATCAAATCGAATTTACTGGAATCTGGGAGAGAAGTTAAAATGCAGTTACTAACTTTATTAATTAATTCATTATTTGTTTATTCGATCAGGAATTCATTTCTATTTACCTAACATTATTGCTCCGAGTGATAATTAACTTTATTAGATATTTGCCCTCGTAACGTTTTTTTTCCCTTGACACTACAGCCCCAGTTGGCCTAGGCCTACCTCCATGAACTTCTCCGTTCACTTCGGTTTTTCTAGATCTTACACATACGGTAGGACACCTTGGGTGGGTGATCAGCTCGTCGCAAGGCCTCTACCTACACAAACACAGAAAAACGCACACAAACTAAACATCCATGCCCTGAGTGGGGTTCGAACCCACGATCCCGGTTTTCAAGCGAGTGAAGACAGTACATGCCTTAGACCGCTCGGCTATTGTGACCGGCCCTCGTAACGATTGGCTCCAAAAATTTTATGAAGACACAACTCATGCACATTTTACATTTAAATTCAGCTATATATAGAGAACCAGAGTAGACAAATTGCTTGAATTTTGAAAGAGAGGACAGTGTCTCTTCTCACATGTATGGAGAATGTGGCCATAAACATGGCGTATTTCGGATTTATAGAAACAACAGAAATTGCATTTTTAGCCTGTTTTCCTTATTTTGAAAGAATTAAATTTTGC